GGGATTGTATGTGACCCATCTCAACAGCAATCAGCCAGTTATTTTGATAGCCACTTAACGACAAATATCAAGTATCTGACTATTCCTAAGAAATACTATTTGTCGTTTGGAGCAAGAGGAACTGCAAATAGTAGTGAATCGAGGGAAAGACATGAGGTTACATCTAATTTCATTGTTCCATATGTCTCGAAAGCTCATCGTACATATATACATAATTTTTAAAATATCTATCTAAGGAGTAAAGGGCAAGAACAGAAGGACTCACTCGGAGAACTGTAAGAAAATCGTCGATGAAAGTTAATTGAGTGCTCGGATTTTGTCTGCTACTCAGCTTGAGAAGGGGACGAAGAGCCTTTATCGATGCAGATAGGTCGCCAAGGAGGTAAGTGTGTCGACCAATGTTGTAATTAATATGGTCCTAATAGTTCAAAGCATGATAAAAACGAAAGGCAGATTAAATTAGGAAAAATAGAACATTTAAAAATAAAATCTCAGATAGAAACTAAATTTTTAAAACGATATGCCAGAACCATAGTCATTATTCTAAGCTAGGCAATTCCCAAGTTATATAGATCCGAAAGAAATGCAACTATTTAGATGGGAAAGCAAGGTTATAACACGAAATACAAAAAAATAAGCGTAATCATTACAAATGGCATAGCATTGCAGCACCTTAAGATAATATTCTTGGCTCTTCAACATGTTCTACGCTCCCATTTCTTAAATTGAACAGCCATAAGATCAGAGACACAAAATTATGAAATACAACTCACAATACTTTTTGTATTTAAAATAAGATCATTTTGGTGAAAACGGATAAAGTTGAAATTAATAGATCCGGGTTTACAATGATATTTTGAGGCCTTTGGTTAGCTCAGCTAATTAATTTAACCTGGAGGGCTGGGCAACTTGACCAAAAAAAGTTGTAGAGCAGAAGCATATAGCGTTAAAAAAACTATAATGGTAAGAAGCGCCCTCACCTCGGCAAGGTCCCATTCAGTTCCAGTAAGTACAAGTGCTGCTTGAGAGAAGCAATGCGTAGTGAGATGAGGCTAAAGAAGATAAAACAAATTTGAATAATCAATTTATTAGGTTAGGATTTATTTGACTCATATAATGGATAAAAATTCCTAATTTTACAGAAATCACTAGGGCGGAAACATTAGCCACTCATGAAAAAGCTTTTAAGACAACCGTTTAGCCAATAAGTAATTAGGACAATAAGAAAAAGAATATTGTCTATATGCACCAAATTTAAAATACGGTATTTAAAAATTAAAATTAGCACCCAGAAAATTAAATTAAGCAAGCTTTAAAATGATTATTACAGAAAGGACAAGAAATTAAATAATTTATTACTTGAAGTAGTATAAGAAAAAGAACTACAATACAAGAAGCACGAATCCCATCTAATAAAGTTGCTGTAATAGGGCATACGATCCATAAAAATATTCTATTGACAATGAGTAACCTTGACACTTAATAAATCTTGAAATAGTACACTTGGACACCAAGTTACATAAGCTGCTAATAGAAGTTCGGAAGACACATTAACCTGACTATTTCCTCCCTCTTTGTTTATCATTTTCACAAGTGACAATTGATTATATGCACTAAGTTGTATTAAGCGGAAGAATAGCATTAACATTCATTAGCATCTCTATATTTTGTTTCATATAATAATTATTTGTTTACCTGTTCGGCTTTGCTATAACGTGAACCTGCCAGAGCCATTCGAAACGCATACTTCCTTATGAGTGGTCGCCGAAGGAAAAGTGAGCAGAGAGCCGTTTGTTCTAGCAAAAGTGCACTGGTCAAATCATTATCCTATAATAGAATATAAAAATCATTAACCAGAAAATATAAAAATGCAGGAAAATATGCACACAGCAAAATAAATTTGACATTTTAAAAATACTTGTAACTATTAATGAAAAAATCCCCGAAGGCATAAAAAATTGAATTCATAAGGATAAATAAAAAAATAGCAGAAATGTATCTATAATTAAAATAAAAGTTCAAAATAAAATAAAACCTGCCTAAATTTTGGAGTTTGGAAATATGCGAACAGGCAGATAATATGAGAATTTAAATAAGATAAATGCATTTCATTTTGAGTTCCAAAAAGATGAGATTAAATATTGTGCGATTCTGATAATAAATTTCGAAGAAAAAAGCACTTGAACTATGTTATTCTAGAGAATATGGCAAAAATATAAAACATGTTAGAATAAATAAATAAATAAATTTTATGCATACAGGGCCCGTTGATATATGAATATAAAGCTTCATTTACGACATAAGACTAATCAATTGTGATCTTAACATGTAGAACAAGCATACATTTGAAATTAGGTATGGGATAAAAGTCATATTAAAACAAGGGTATGACAAATATACTTGGATTTGGAAATAAATTCCTTTTAAATGAAAGAAAATCAATAAGTTGGAAGGATTTATAATTGTAGGTTAGATATCAAATTTCTCTACTAATTTGCTAGCAAAGGCATCAATGATCTTCTTATGTAACATTAAAATATGTTAAGATGCTAATTAGGGTAGTTGGATGACTATATGTAGTGGAGGCTAACGTATTATCATTATTTTGTAGCTATTATTCTTAAGAATATAAGTTGTGGTAAATGGAAAGTTAATAAAGATTGCAAAAGACGCAGCGTTTGTTGATTCCACATAATTTGGAATCAACGCCTAGAAACATTTAAGAATGATGAGGCTTACGTTAAACTTGGTGTTGGCCAAGATATTTCAATAAATACGAAATTCTGACCCAGAATACTTAAATATATTTATTACTATGAGATGCAAGTTTTTTGAGCTAGAAGAAATGCGAGAAAAAAAGATTTTGTGGCACTTATCCCGAGGGTACATACATCGGTAATCATC